AGCAGGATGTGCAAAGATGAGGTAATCCAGCACATAACAGCAGGGTGCAAGATGCTAGCAGGCAGGGCATACATGGAACGCCATAACCAAGTGGCTGGCATAGTGTACAGAAACATCTGTGCCGAGTACGGGCTGGAAGTCACAAAGGTAAAATGGGATATACCTCCAAAGGTGGTTGAGAATAACCAAGCTAAGATCCTGTGGGACTTTCAGATATAAACTGAAAAACTGGTAATGGCTGATCCAACCGGACATAGTAGTGGTGGATAAACAGAAGAAGAAGGCCGTAGTGACAGATGTAGCAATCCCAAGCGATAGCAACATCAGAAAGAAGGAACACAAGAAGCTCGAGAAACACCAAGGGCTGAAAGAAGAGCTTGAAAAGATGTGGAAGGTGAAGGCAGAAGTGGTCCCCGTGGAAATAGGAACATTGGGGGCTGTGACCCCCATACTGGGAGAGTGGCTCCAAGAGATCCTAGGAACAGCATCTGAGATCTCTGTCGAGGCCGGGTGCATGATCACCAAGCACTTGGTGTACAAACATCCCACAGAGAAGCCTAGAGAAACACCTCGGAGAAGGGAAAACTATGTCCAAATTTCTGACAAACAGTACACAATGAAGGAATTACTGGCTAAACATGAAATGCATATATATGTACAGTTTATCCAGCCTGTGGTAAAACCCAGCAAGTACAAAGTGCACACACTGTAATGAACAGTTTTTTTTTTCTATTACTTGTTGCACCTGTTTATATTTGGAGAAGTACAAATATTGCACTTCAGTTTTAGTTGGAGGTTTGTAAAAAACTGAAAGACAAATGTAAAACTTGAATATAATGTTTTATTTTTATTAAAATTATATTTTTCATTAAAGATGTACTGTATGTGTATGCTGTCATGTACCGTTCTTAGAAAGAAAAAAATCAGAATCACAGGTCAGATTTAAAAAAAAAAAAAGTTCCTCTCATGTTCCTTACATCGAAACAGAATCTAAATCAGAGGTTTATTTTTGCAGCCATATCACTAAGACATTCGCTATATAAAATTCTCTGACAAGATCATTGCCAATGCTTTGTCTCTGTTCTGCTGGTGGATGATTGAATCCATGCCATGTTGCTCTGTTTTGTACATCTGGATTTCTCTGTCCCCCACCCTCTTAAGATACTTGAGATTACTGTGATAATGGACAAGCTATATAAATCATTGCACCCTGCACCACAAAACTGCTGTATGCACAAGGAATCGTAATGTCCTGGGGACACTGCAGTGTCACTGGCTACAAAAACAACAGGGTAAACAGGGATGAGCTGAGGACACCATCGATAGCATGATTACAGCCTGACTGGCTCATTATTATGTGGCATCCCAATAGTAAACATTATCTTCAGTATATTAAAGTTTCCACAATAATAACCTAACATTTATTTGCATCATTAGACTAACCTGATTCTGGTATTCGGTATGGCTCCTAGAAAGGAAGCCACAAAGAGTGTGTAAGTAAATATTCCAGTGAGAGCTGCCAAATGCCTGAGCATCACCTGTCAGCACCAACCAAAACAGATGCGCCAGCACCAGATACAACCTGACTGAATGAGAGCGCTGCCAATAATACTCTGAATCAGGACATTTGAGTCTATGGCAGACCAACCAGTCAGTCAGTGGCTAAACAGCCGCCCAGTTGGTCAGCCAAATCTGACAGCAGCCTGCCAGACATTTACCATCAGCTATATACATTTCAGTAAGACAACAGCAAGATAATGCTCCAGTTCTTGATGTTTTAACAAACAGATAGATATTCAAGACTGATAGAAAGGTGTCACCTCTACAAAATAAAAGCACGGCAGCAGAGTGACGCTGTCCTTGGTCTCCTTCCCGCCTTTCAGCCGCTCTTTGGCACGAGACATCACGAGCGGGCGGTGGTCTCTCCCGTTGCCGGGAGACAGGGAGCTGTATTTGATTCCCGTCGTAATTTTGGCAAAATTCCGACCGAGTCAGGTCCCCAGAACCTTCAGCGGCTGACCTCCATCTCCCGGCGAGGTGCGCTGGAAGCGTCTGTTAAAGTGATTTGTCAGTTGTCACCCCTAAAATGCGGTTTTTGGGCTTCAAAAAATTGTGCCAGCGCAGGACTGGCAGGGTCCCCCCAGATCTATTCGTATTCCGTGCTGACATTAAATCTAGGACATAAAATTCATTCTATAAACGTGTGTTCAGATGAAAAAATGTACATAGTCCAGTCAGCCCCCGATAACCCAGAAACGGCGATCCACTCACTGTCCTCGGGCTCTGCTGTGCTGCAGCAGGTGACCGCCGTGAAGTTATACAAAATACACAAATACGTTTCCTCTTATGACTTTCAAAATAAACCCGGTTAACTACTTGACAGTACTTTTATTTTCTAATCAATCAATAATTATACAGGAATTTTCAACAGTTTTTGTGCATTCATTAGAAATGTAGTGCTATCGTTTCCAGCGGTGTTTTGCTTTTATTTTTATAATAAAATTACACTAGAAATAGTGCAACACCTGGCTTTTTCAAGCTAATGTCCTCTAAATTGACGGAAATGAGCAGGTGCCAAGCAGTGGAGGAGAAAGCTGAGATGAGACAAACTCCACGAGGTCTTACTCTGCACCTATTTAGTTATGCAAATAGAGAGCCGAAGTCATGATGCCCAGAGGTTCAGACCCATAAAAAACAACTACAGCCTACTTATCCAAAGACATAAACTGAGTCCCATGACATACTGTTGAGAAAGTGCAACAGTCCTCCAAATACATGGTTCAGTTCAGACCTTGATTTATGAGCCACAGTTCATATCTCTTTCTGTGTGTGTGTGATTCTTGGTGGTGGTGGGGGCGATGTGGTCAAAACAAGCAGAAATATCTTTCTTTTCTTTTTTTAAATTACCAACAGTGTGGAAAACCAAAGACAAAAACAACTTGGTGATGTGCTATAGTGTTGATTGTGTAATGAAAAATGAGCTTTGTTAAATTAGTAGTGTAGGTGTAATGGAAGCTCAACAGACTGCACCTGCAGTGTGTGTGTGTGTGTGTGTGTGTGTGGGTGTGTGTGTGTGTGTGTGGGGGGGGGGGTGGGTGTGTGTATAGCTTGATTGCAGTTTCTTGGATTTTGTATTGCGTCCCAGTTTTCGGTTTCAATTCAGAATTGTTACACTCTCAGTTATTAGTGATATGGGTGATATTTCTCTCCCACACTTAGGCCTTTTAGAACACCTCTCACTGCTCCTGTTAGCAGCATACATCCCGGTCAGGAGGCAAACCAAGCTGGTCATTAAGACTATAAAAACCTGGCCAGAGGGAGCACTCACACAGATCCAGGATTGCATTACACACATAGAATGGTCTATATTTGAACACCAGGACTTAGAAAAATATACTAAAACTGTTTTGTTCTATATCAAATGCTGCACTGATAATGTGACTATTAACAAATGCACCTAAGTGTATCCCAACCGTAAACCTTGGATGATTGGTGAAGTTCGGTCTCTTTTGAAAGCACGCAACTCTGCCTTGAGGTCTGGAGACAGAGCTTGGTACGGCGTGGCAAGGGCTGAGTTGAGAAGGGACATTAAGGCAGCTAAAGAGGACCATAAGAGGAAAATAGAGGACCATATAACTAATAACAACCCATGGCAGGTATGGCAGGGACTTCAAGAGATATCCAACTTCAGGGGCAAATCATCTAGGACAGTGAATGTAAACTCCTCACTGGCAGAGAAACTTATCCATTTTTTTGCATGATTTTAGACAGCAATGCCGCATATAGTCACATCGACCCCATTGCCTACTCCATCCCACATGCTCACTCTACAGGAGCATCAGGTGAGGCGGGTATTTAAGTTGATCAATCCAAGGAAGGCAGAGGGACCTGACGGAATACTTGGCAAACTGCTGAAAGCATGTGCAGAACAGCTATCAGGGGTCTTCATGAAGATCCTCAACACCTCCCTGACACAATCCATCATTCCATCCTGCTTCAAATCTGCTACAATTATCCCATTCCACAAGAACCCAGCTGTCAATAGTTAGCACAGTTAATACAGCCCTCCACATTGCTATGTGCCATCTAGAAAACCTGGAGACTAATGTAAGAATGTTGTTCATTGGTTATAGTTCAGCATTCAATACCATCATCCCTGGGATACTAGTGGACAAGCTGTATAACCTGGATTTTCCCCCATCCATAGCTAGAACTCATCTCAACAAGGCCAGAAACATTGCAGAGGATAATACACATCCAACATATAATTTATTTGCTCTTCTGCCATCTGGAAGGTGCTACAGGAGTCTAAAAAGCAGAACAAATAGACTTACTGCTAGCCGTCAGAAATAACCACCGAGGACCCAGTACAGCTCAACAGGATCCCCCTAGTAGGTAAGAGGAAGAACAAACAAAATGCCAGAGACCCAGAAGGATGCCATAGGAAACTGGGTCAGGTTCTGGATGAGCCTTGTCCAATAACGGGACAGTCTGTGAGTGTAATCTTCTCTCAAGCTCAAAGATAATACAAATCTATCAAGAAAAAACTCAAACTGGCGAGGAGACAGCAGCATACATGCAGACTCAGAGGAAACTAAAAACAACCAGTGAAAACTCAAAACTGGTGAGAAGACAGCAGGATTCAGTACAACAGAACAGGATTAAAATCCCCAGAAAGAGTAATTCCTACAAAAAATGCCTAAGGAGATTTCCTCTTGGCAGAGCACAAATGGTTCAATTCACAGTTCAAAAACGCACGAAACAAAACTGGGATCGCTGAGGCAGAAAGAAAAAAAACACAGGTTAGTCAGATCAAAGCTTACGGGATACTTGCAGGACATTGAGAGACTATCTGGTGACGAGTACACACCAGTGCTCTTCGTAAGTAATGCTCCGCTGATTGGGAGCAGGTGTGCCTCACCACCTGGAGTGCACTCCAGCACCTGCAGGGGCAGAGTTGTTGATGGTACCAGTGCTGGTGGATGAGGTGCACCGATCCACAGCTGTAACAAATAGACTTAAAAACAGTTTCTTTCCCTGGGCCATCAGATCTTTGAATGCAAAATATGACATGATTTTGCTCTGTCTTTTATTTATTTATTTTTTATATCTGTTATTCATTTTATGTCTTTTATTACCTATTTATTAAACTTGCACCATTATCATTTGTAGCACTCATACAATGACAATAAAGCATTCAATTTCAGTTACATTTCAATATTTTGCAAGGGGACGTTCCAGTTTTGGCTCAGCTAGCTTAAGTTTAATGTCGTAACTGTGTTAATAGATTTTTTAAATTGTTTTTTGTTAATAAAGTTGATCATTTTAAATTTAAATGATTAATAATGGGGTTTGTGATTTATTCACAGGAACCTTTTTGAAATTAAATTTTTCAGATTGTTTGAACACAACACCATCAATTCCATTGACCTCCACTGTTTCAAAAAGTTAAACATGCCTATCTCAACATGCCTGAAAATAAAATATCTGCTTGATACAGTATCTCTAGGTCTGTGTGGGAAAATATTATCTCAGTGCTGTACAATATTGTGCTATGTTGTATTATGTGGTTACAAATATTCAGCATTTGTTAATTTTTTTGTTAAACCAAAATGTTTTGTATCTGTGCCTTTTCCACCCTCACAACCCAACATTTAGGGTCTGGATTTCACCTAAAGAGTGATTCATCTTCTCATTATACAACCTTCAGAGGACAACCAAACATGATCAATGTGCATGAGGTCAGGAGTGTGCTAAAAACCTATTTTCTGCAAGAGGGCTGTGCACGAGCGTGTGTGTCAAGCTCAGCAGAGCAGTGCCCATGATGTTGGGCACACACCCCTCAGGAAACACAGGCATCAAACACTGTGCCTTGTTATGGCCTCAGGCGGCTGCTTGCAATATGTTCATGTTTTGATAGTGCTATCATACAACTGATGATTAGCCCTATCAACTGCCCCTTTCTCTCATGAAGAAAACAGAGAGAGTGAGAACCAGCAATTCAGAGGCACACACACTTTTATAAATAGTTAAATAAATAGTATACAATAGCTAACCATGTTGATCAGAGTGATCAGCTTTCCCATGTGTTTTTCCATATCCCCTGGACTGAGGGAGCAAACATCCAGTGTCAGTTTATGATTATCATTGTCTTGTTTTGGGCCCTGTGAGGAGTGCCATTATGCCACTGGATTGTAAGGATTGGCCCGCAGGTCGCTGCAGGAAAGTTTCATTTTGTGCATGTGTGTATATAAATGTATCTTTGCCTGTGACGCAGTGATCTTTTCTAAACTGCTGTTCATAAACAGCGTTGCCCGTTGATGTTTATTAAGCCCAACAGATAGTTGTATTTCACTCTTACTTTTGTCAGGCACAAAGTCACAGCACACAATTCTATGGTGGCTGGCAACCAAGACACAGACACCTGGGCGGGGCCAAGGGGGCTGCGCTGGCCAACTCCATAATCTGATTGGCCGTCCCTGGTGCTACCCCTGCCAGAGTCAATGTTGTTAATAATAATGAATGAAAAATGAAAAACAATGACAAACTGCTGCCTTAATACAACTAGTATTTTTCTAGTGCCTTATAATTGACATTGGTCAAATTAATTTTAGTTTTTATCATGCATAAAGCATGATATTTGCATTAATTTCTCCACTCTTCAGCCACAAAGTCACCGACCAGAAGTAAAAAAAGGAGCACAGCCAAAGTTTGCTAAACAAAGCACTATGTGTGTATCATTTTTGAACAAAATATACAGTTTGATTGTTAATAATGTATGATTTATTATTTCATAGAACAAGGGATTTAATTTACTTTAATTTTACTTTTTTACAGGTGTTTCAAATGTGCCACCTCTCTCTGAGGCCCCAGCCTGGCCACCCTTCCTAGAATTTTATAGATGTGCCCCTGTACAAACAGACCAAAAGATGCACTGCCCAGCTAGGTTTGTGCACAGAAGCTTAACTTTACATTTATTTGCTGACAACAAACCTGGACAGGTGAGAACACAAGTTTACCTGATTGCTGTTCCCACAGAGCTGCTAACATTAACACCTGATTTGACACTTGGGAAAGCAGGGCCTTGTGTAATTTGCAGCACCCTATGCAACTTGAGTATTGAATGTATAGATGTATATGGCCAGCATACTGGCTTACTGTTTATAGTTGTGACTATAAATAAAGTGAGAACAAGCTCAGAATATCTGTCTCTGCTAAATATTGGCTCCTTCTGTGTACAAATAACAGACTCCTCAAAACTGTGTCTTACTCAAACTGACTATTAGAAATCACAATTGTTTTATGAGGGATCTGGCAGATCAACATCTGATTACAGTCTTTCTTTAGAGTGTGAAGGACTCTTCTGTGTGCAACCTCCGCTGTGACCCCCTGACACTTCAGTATGCTGTCGGACACATTATAGGCCAGTACAATATGTAGACAGAGCAAGAAGAGTGGGACTGACCTGTGGTCTGATCTTCATACTGTCTTCATGACAGATATCCTGTTCTTCTACTGTGTCACTGTATCCTGATCTGCTTCCATGTTGTCCCGCCTCGGCTGTTCTCTGCCGTTTTGTGCTCTATTGTCACTTAAAGATTCTGGGCCAACAAACTGTGCCAGACCAATGGGGAATATTGCTCTCTCTCCCCAGCCCCCCCTCCCTCCCCCCATCAGTTTCATCCTCTTTATGATTTACAAAGACTCTAATATTTCTATGTACTGACACTGCCTCATGCCTGTAACACTGACTTTGTTGAGAATCTCTGCTGACTGAGAGCAGAACAATAATCATCATGTGCTGTACTGAAATATATTATCTTGATTTGCAAAAACAAGATTATTGAAGAACTACCTTGACCTGTTAAACATGATGTGAACAGCTGGGTTTCAGTTGTGATACTCAAATCCTTTACTTATATAAAAGTAGCATTACCAGAGTGTCAAATATTGGGTTACAGGTAAAAGTCTTGCATTGAAAATGTTACTTAAATAAAAGTATTTAAGCATCAAAATATACTTAAAGTACCAAAAATAAAAGTACTGATTATGTAGAATGGCCTGGTTTACATTAATGTATATCATATTAGTTAATAATATTTAAGAACCATTAAATAATAATTATTGGTTATTATTATTAATTGTTATTAATTATTAATACAATATTTTGTACTTAAATATTAATATAGCTATTAATGCTTTATTGTAAACATTACATTTAATGTTGCAGCTGCAGTGAAACAAATGTTACCATACCTTACAGTATTTACCTATAATTTGGGGGGAGCTGTGGCTTAGGAGGTAGAGCAGGTTGTCTCCTAACCAGAAAATTATCCGGCTCGATTCCCGGCTTGTCCAGTCCATATGTTGAACTGTCTTGGAGCAAGACACTGAACCCCCCAGTTGTCACCAGTGTGTGAATGTGTCTCCTGGTGACATCACCGGTGTGTGATTGTGAATGGCCAAACAGTGTGAAAGCCCTTTGAGTGTGCTGCAATGCATAGAAAAGCACTGTACAAGTATAAGACCATTTACCATAATTTGAAATACTTTACATACTGCTGGGTAGCTTGTGAACTTTTCACCATGAATCGCTAAAATCATATGATTATAATGTATTTTGTTTTTAATATCATCTTGAAAGGTAAGCAGTAACTAAAGTTATCAAATAAATGTGGTGAGCACAAAGTGCATTATTTTTCTCTGAAATGTAGTAAAGTCAGAGTATGAAGTAGCAGAAAATGGAAATACTCAAGTAAAGTACAGATACAGTGCTTCAAAGTTGTACTTAAGTACAGTAGTTGAATAAATGTACTTATGTTACATTCTACATCTGCTGGGTTTCTAAAACACTATAACTTGGCTTGCTGACTAATGGGACCTGATCACTTCACATAACTCCAATAAAACAATGTTAACATTTCTTGATTAAAATATATTTAAAATGTATAGAAATAGTTCAAGTAAATTGCTCAGATATACTATATGTTTAAATATTTTTATTTAATTATATATTTATTATGTAATTTCTTATTAATTTTACCATCAATCTAATTTTTAGATTAGATTATTTTTTAAATTTGTACCTCTTTGTTGTTGTTTTGAATCTTTCTAGTTATTTTGTGTTTCTTTACAATCACTCTGCACCTATTTGTTGTAATTTTTCATGTGTTCATAGTAGTTCTATCTCACTTTGTGCTCGTTTTGTGTCTTTTTCAACGCATCTGATTGACTTTCTAACCAGAAATGATCTCACCATGGGCCCCGTAAGCCCGTTCAGTAGTCCATCTGGGCTACAGCTCAGCGAAAAGCGTTAAAACACAATTTCATTCAGTTAATACTCAATGTCGCCTCCGACACAGCAGGTGGCGCTGTTGGCTGATAGCCGACATTGTAACTAGAGAAGAACAACCAAGACCGTGTAGCAGGGCGGAAGCTAGCAGCTAGCTAATATTTACAAAGTAAGAATGATTTTAAAAGGCGTTAACGTTTTCCCGCTTGTGAGTCTAAGTTCTTGAGCATTTGAAGGAGCTAACGTTTTGTCAGTTCACTGTACGGAAAACCTCACATTGACTCTACTAAGCCTGTGGCCACTCAGCATGGATAAAACGTTCAGTCAATGGAAAAAGCAGTGTCTGAGCAAAGTGGACCTCAGTAAGAAGGGCAGTGTGGATGAAGATATTGAACACGTAGTGTCTCTGATCAACAGCTGTGAGGAGTACTTCACCACCAGCTCCTGCTCCGGGCGAATCATCCTCGTCGATGCGGTGAGAGAGGCTTTATTCAGGGATGGGCTGTGAGGACAACCATAACTGGGAGGTTTTTACTGTCTGAAAGTTGTTATCAGAGGCTGGTGCTCTTTGTTAATACGAATGACTAACAAATTTCCCTTCTAGGCTCCAGAGAACAGTGATGTCCAGAAACAGAACTGTATTTGGTTGTTCGTCTCACACCAAAACTGCACATCGGATGACATGGTGAGACAAGATGCACCTCCGTGCTTCTGATACTCAACCTAATGATGTGGATTTAACATTAACAAGAGTTTGTTCATCAGATGTCTGGTCTGGCCAAATCCAGTGGAGATGCTGTGTTGAAGTTCGAACCCTTTGTACTCCATGTTCAGTGTAGGAGGCTGGAAGATGCACAGCTAATGGTGAGAATGACAAGTTGAGAAATGGTAGTGTTGCTTTATGCATTTTGTGAATGATGAAAAGGACAACACAAGACACAGCTGTCTGCGACTCATTCCAAACTGATAGATGAGTCTGTTTTCTTCTCTGTATTGGTTGCAATGATTTTACAGCCATTATTTATTAAAAGTGCTACATGTAGCATCTTTAATACTCGCCAGGACTGATTCTGACAAATCCATAATACACATTCAAGTACAATAACAGTGATGTGTTCATGTTGTACTTAGCTGGTTATGATCAGCTGTCTTTCAGAGCCTATCATATGTCATTCAGGCTTCAGTGAGCCTTTGCCTTCAGTTCTTTCCAGCGAAATTTAATGAATTTGCAAAGATTGAAAAGTAACGTGCCACTCGCATAAACAGCGTGTCAACAATGTTGCACACTAACCGACCTATACTGATCCTTATTGATATATGCCATTGCTGGTTGTGACATTATTGTGATGCTGCTGTGTTCCTCTTATAAATACAGCCCCACTTGTGACAGATACCAGTATCCACTGACATGAACCAATGCTATGTCACTTATGTACTGTCATAAAGTGACTCTTGCTCTGCTGTCATATGAAAAACACGAGATTTCTTCCACTGACAGATGCCACTTTCCACCAGTAGCTGTTATGTAAACCTGGTACTAACAGTATTCCGCTGTTACTGCACAGCACAGAGTCAACATATGTCAGTAAAACAAGAGTGGACTACCCTCAGCTACTTTTGAATGCTGACTTCAAGTTCAAAGTTCAAGTTCAAAGTGTTTATTTGTCATATGCACAGTTAGGAAGCGTATTTCCCTGTACAATGAAATTCTTACTTTGTCAATAGTTTGACCACAAGGTTCAGCTCATGAAGCCTGGTTTAGGCACTCATTATTTCTGCTGACATCTAGTGGACACATTTTGTGTAGCAAACAGACCCTGATACATCACAAGTTCCATGCTGCACAACACAATTATTATGAACATGGAGGGGCTAATAATGGTATAGCCTTCACTGATAGCTGCTAGTGATGTTATAATTTAGCTATACCTATGACAGTGGGCAGGAAAAGTACTTAGGTGACCTATGTGCTTGTGTAACTGATGGGGGTATTTGTTAATGATTTTTTATTCAGAAATAATAGTCAGACCGGAGCAGCACGGTGGCGTGGTGGGTAGCGCTGTTGCAAGAAGGTTCCAGGTTTGCGACCTTTCTGTGCGAAGTTTGCATGTTCTCCCCGTGCAGCATAGGTTGATGGTGAGTTTAAATTGCTCGTAGGGTTTGAGGTCATTTCCGGGTCTGAGTTTTGAGCTCCATGGTAAATGTAACACACCATAGGCCCTTAGAACGGTCCAGTCTGAAAGCGCCTTTGGAGATTCTGCACTTCAGTCTTGTTCTGTTTCATTAGACCTTTACACAGAGCCCCTTTCAGCATAGTTCTAGTATGTAGGGACTCCAATACCAGTACTGCCTATCAGGCCCAGTACCACGCTGTAGTACTTGTAAAAGTTGTCCGATACTACACACCAATACCAATTAATGGCAACATTATGTTAACCTAATGTTGACTGAGCTGGTCATTAGACGGCAGAGAACAAATTTCAGTGGTTCAGAGATATTTTAAGAGAAGTAACAACAACAAAATAAAGCTGACTGTGAGCTCAGCTTCTCTGTTGTGTGTGTGTGAGCACACACGCAGACGCTAGGTTGCATTTTACACAGATGTCGACACTCGATATATGCAACAAAAAGTTCAACAGTAATGGAGAGAATAATTAACCACAATCACCCATTGAAGAAACAGAACACAACAGCAAAGATGACATCTTCACTCTCCTCACGGTCAAAGTGCCTGGTCCCGTTCTTTCCGCTAAAACCACCACAGTGCTCGTTCTGCTGATTGTATTGAACGGTTGTGAACATGAAGAAAACACACTATAACTTCATGTAGTTAATGACAACATCAGTTGAGCTCTCTGCATGAAAATGGGTTGAATCCTTGTGGACGTGGAGGCCAAGACCAGCGGCTCCTTGTCAGCTATGTGTCCGGCAGAGAGAACAGGAGCCAGTTTATCATAAGAGCTGCAGCCTCATTAAATTTAACATTTAAATATGTGTCTGTGATAATATGCGATCCTAAACTGTGACGTCTGGTCAGGGGGTTGTGAAATCATTACATCCTAACACAGGATGACAAAGGTTAAAATCCACAGCATTGCAGTATGTTGTGTAGCAGGCTACAGACCTTCAGTCATTTACACGTTATTCAGTACTATGTTTGTTATCACAGAAAGTTTTCAGGTAATTTGGTCACACCTTCCTTTTACATAGGATATTCTCTTTACTCACCATCAGAAAGTAAATCTCACAAGATTAAAAACTGTGACATTGCACTTTTATGGTAGCTATTTTTTAATAGTAGAAACATTGCATCATTAAGTACTCGTACTTGTATTTGGTCTGGAAGAAAGTGGTATCGGTGCATCCCTAATTCTATACTGTAGTTTATTAAATTTACTGAACACCAAGTCATTAAAATGTCTTCTCTCCTCCAGCATTCAGTGGCCATCAACTCTGGCTTCAGGAACTCTGGTCTTACAGTCAGCAAGACAGGAAAGATCATCATGGTAATCATGTTAATGGAATTTCTAAAATTGGGGTGAAAACATCTGTTATGCCAGCAATTATATTACATTAAATAGTCTGTTTAAATTGTCTGAACATCATGAACTTTGGACAGTTTATAAAGTGCAAATTGCTAGATGTTGCTTCCATATAAATGTCCTATTGCTGTATTTTGTCCCTCTAGGCAGTCCGTAGCACCCATGGTCTGGAGGTTCCTCTGAGCCATGAAGGAAAGCTCCTGGTTGGACATGAATACATCCATTTCTTAACTCAGATAGCCAATCGGAAGATGGAGGAGAACCTCAGACGAATCCACAGGTTAGTCTGCTAATTCTCTCTCTCCTCTTCAGTGAGTGATAAAAACAGTAGTTGTTAGCCACTTCAGTTATTCTGTACATCAGAATTCAGTTCAAACATCCAGATGTAAACTCAGCTGCGGGGAGCTGAGATTTCTTTGTATGTTTTGTTTTTTCTCCAGGTTCTACCACAATCTTCAGTCAGCTGTGACAACAGAGAGATTACAAAAACTACAAATCCCTGGTCCTCCCAGCTCACAGGAACTACAGTGTTCCCCTAACAGAGTGGAGACAGAAGAGGAGAAGAACAAAATAAGCATGTATAGACGAAGGCGGAAGAGAGAACAGCATCAGACTGGCTGTTACCATGGTGACGCATCCACCAGTGTGCAAGAGCAGGATTACTGTCTGGATCTGTTCACGTGAAGTGGTGGTTCTGCACATGCTCAGTGTTTCATCAGTTGGGTAGTGCTGGTGCTCATTGTGACTGCTTTAGTGCTGTTTATTATATGACTGAGAGCAGCGGCCTCCATTACAGAGTAATGTGCTGCCATGCAGCAGGGTCAGCCTGCCTACAGACTGATCCAGCTGCTGGAATAGCAAAGCTGTTGTTTCTGTGGGATCTCAACATGGACAAAACTGCTACAATAATGTGAGCTGTAATAAAAAGCAATAAGTATATTTTTTACACATAAGGAGAATCATTTAGTTTCATTCTATTCCAAATATGAAACAGTCCTTATTCCCAGTTTTAGTCCTAGTAGTCACAAGTACGAGATATAACAGAAACTGTTAGTGCAGTTCAGCATTATCACTGGCTGCTGTTTACCGGCCACTCCAGCTCCAGGCAGGTTTTGGTGGAGCTTCTGTTAATAATACTCATCAGTGAAGTTATTCTTCAATGCACTCAAATGTTTTTTTTCATCCACACTGCAAAACAATTAAATGCTTCATTGTCTGAATTAGCCAACCTTTGTGGCCATTGCTGTATTCATTCTTCAGTTTTAGGCAGTTGTCCTCACGGCTCTTGATAAGTTTGATGTAAGATGACAGAGGCTGGCAATTGCTGGTTGTTCGTTCATTTACAGTCACTCAACATTTCTTGTTAGTACAGCCTTCATATATGTTTAAACAGCTGCACACAAAGAATGACATTCAGTGATCTACACATTCCAGTGATTCACTCAATAAAAACACTTGCGTATCACCATCAGTGCACCATCAGAGACACGTGCTACTGTAGAGTTCCTTGTGAGTGCACAGACACTTAACTGGGGAATCTTACACTATGTATGATATTATCTTTTGTACTTAGTACTGATGTGGTCTACATTATGTGACATTACAGTGTCATCAGTGGAGGGCAGCAGCGCACAGGGTGTAATGACATGGAGTGCAAGCTGTAACGTTCCTCTGTGCTCTCTACCTGGCCACTGCACAGCTGATGTTCTCTAAACTCTTAAAGCTCTCGTTGGTCTGCTTGCCACCACACCTTTGATTGGTCTTGTTTGAGACCTTGCTCTTCTAATAACTTGAACTAGGACTTGAATTTGGAACCAACTACAAATGTAGGAAGTCTTGAAAAAACAACTATGCTAATGAATGCATAAATGCTTCTCTCTAATTCTGAAACTCCTAATATTCTTGTGATGTAACTGATTGAAGTGAGTCTTGATGTTTTCCGACTCACGAGGTTTTCCTTTGACAGAATTGCAAAGAAAAGTGACTCAGTCTTGCGGGTACATCCTCATCACTAGCACCATCATTGGTACAGCCAGCATCGTCTGTGGCTTCATATTTGCATTTTCCAAGGCCCATAGAACCAGACTGTATAATAATTACAGTAAGTAACCATCTACTGATTATGACTACAGTACAGTAGATTATTACATTGTTTTACCTGTCTCTACTGTTTGTGACAGACTGTGACCCAACTTGTAAGGTCAGACTTTGAATTGGTGTTCAGTAGACTGCAAGTGGCTCTTTCAAGTTTGTTCAGTGGAACAGAATGAATTTGTAGGTCCTCTGCAGTCAGATGATTCAGGAAACTCACAGGAGCGGAAGGACGAGGTTTTCCTTTGACAGAATTGCAAAGAAAAGTGACTCAGTCTTGCGGGTACATCCTCATCACTAGCACCATCATTGGTACAGCCAGCATCGTCTGTGGCTTCATATTTGCATTTTCCAAGGCCCATAGAACCAGACTGTATATCAGTGGTTATAATGCTGGGTTACAAAGCATCATGGTGGATGACATTAGTCAGTAATTAGTAGAATTGAATTATTCACCATAATGACAAACAAAGAAATGGCAGCATTGGATATGGAAGAACAGCTGTTATTTCAAGTTGGATTTTTCATCACCAGTGTAACAGTACAGAGGAGAGCATTTCACTGAATTCATCATCACCATGGGAACAGTTTACTGCATCATGCTGTACTTCCAGGTGATGATTTTGACAGCTACAGTGACACTGGTTTACTACTATGAATTCACTGATACTTTCAGTCCAGCACAGCAGGGTTTTGTCTGCAGAGACCCAGCACATAAACATAAACAGCCTGAGCCAATGTTTATTTTAACAAACATACAAACTGTTAGCACTCACATACACAGAAGGTATGAAGTAGAAGCAGTGTATAAAACATGCACATCATTCAGGTGCTACTGTAGTTAGCAGCAAAAGAACATGGTGAGCTGAAAACCTTAAAGCTGCACAACTCAGTGCTTATATATTTATATGTTGTGTGAATGACATCACACACCTACAGAACACTAACCCTGGCTCTGTGGAGTGTCATTCAGCTCAGTTTTGTGTTTTTCTGGCTTACGCACAGCTTTAGCGTCTTGGTTCCACCTCACCACTCTCAGTCAACAGTCAAGCACTAAAATGAGCACAACATCCAGTTGCTATGGTCAGTGCAGGTAAGATGAATAACAACCACAATCTTTAAAGCTATTTCAGTAAAAATTTGAGCAATCATACTGACCAGGCACAATTTTCTTGATCCAAATTGCATAGACATCAGCTGTGATAATTTCAGGTCCTATACAGCAGAGGTTTCTGGCACAACTTCACCCACAGCAAGTGCTGCTGGACCTTTTGTTTCCCAGGTCCTTCTGTACAGACAGCATCATTAAATAAACCCAGTACACACTATGTGCTATGCAATCAGTGGCCTACAAACTGTTAACAACTAGTTGGTGAACTCTTTAGTAGCTAAAGACCCAGGAAATACGCATAGCATTCATATAAGAAGCCTTTGTTTCTTCTTCACTACAACTCAAACAACCTATATGACCATGAGAATATTGTTGTCATGGGTGACTGCTGCTACGTGAACCCTATGGTGCGCAGGACCATCCGTTTCCTTGGTAATCTAAATACAGTTCATTTATTAAAGCCTGAATCTGCTGTCTGTAATACTGTGCAGGTGAATGTGCAATATGATATGGCGACATTTGCATACTAATCCTGTAATCTGTGTATGTCTCTCTGCAAGTGTGTATGTCTTCGGTCTGTTTACAACAGACATCTTTGTCAATGCAGGTCAGCTGGTCATATGAAGTTTGGCTCCTTACTTCCTGTCTGTCTGCCGGCCTAATTACATGGCCCTCAACTGCCAGGACACAGCACACTTTGTCACCCAAACAGATGCCTGTGCTGGTGACCCAGATGACATCATAAGAGCGAGGAAGACATTTCCCTCTAAAGAGGCTGCACTGAGTCTGTATGCAGCTGCTTATCTGGCAGTGAGTGGCTCCCTTTAAAGTAACAGCTGGTGGAAGTGTGTACAGACAGTGTGAATGATCCACAACCAGTTGGTCTTCAGCAACGCTAAAGAAGCCTTACATTATACCACTGGTTTTGAACAGTGACACAGAAATATTGTAAAATAACCACTTTGCAGATGTACATCGTGTCCTGCGTCAGTCTTACTGGAGGTCGACTGACAGGGCCCCTCCTCAGTCTGTCATTGGTCAGTCTGGCTGTGCTAACTGGCATCAACAGAGTGTCAGAGTACCGAAACCACTGGAGTGACCTTATAGCAGGACAAGCTGTCGGGGGAGCTGGTGCTGTCTTTCTGGTCAGTTGCTATCTCATAAGCAGTGGTGGCACAATGCATTCATCTAGTGTTAATCATGGGAGACATTTTTCAGCTCATTATTTTTATTATTATAGATAGGCATCCATTAAAGCAACCTCTTATTAAAGTTATGAAATAACATTTCACGTCAATGTATCCATCTGTCTTTCAGTGGTAATTCTCAATTCAGACTTGTAAATTTGAAAGCCACTGAAATCTTACTTGTTACTCGTGTGTTTACTTCTTGAAAAGCCACTTTGAGACAAGGTTCAGCCTTCTCCCATTAGTTTTATTGCATGTTAGTTTGAAACAATCTACACTTTTGGTATTTCTGGCTTTTTCAGAACATAAACTATGGAGGTCCACATAGTAACAGTGTAATTAAGCAAGTAGTTTATGAGTGATGACTAAAAATAGGGGAAGCATGATGTGTGAGGGCACCAGTCAGTGATGGCATGTGGCTGTTAAAGGTAACCTACAACTATCCTACAACTAGGATGAAGCAGGACAAGCAGGTATGGTCGTACAGCCCAGAGCCGTCCCATTTCTTAGTATCAGCCTTGTTATTGGCTTTAGTTTCTGCCTAGATCCAAATGTCCCATTAAGGTGACCAAACTGTTTATAAACCCCAAGAGGTCCACCATCTGCAGCCTGGTGTGGTGGTCTGCTGGACATTTAGCATGTCTCATGATCAGCTCTGCTGTATCAGTCCCAGCTCTGATTTTCTCATTCAGGACTGTGCTTTATGATCAGGTCAACCTCCAGCATCCCCAGTTGTAGTTCTGTTAAGACCAATTCACATGCCTGCACCCCACCCTCTGTGGCTGGCTC